CCCTAAGCGCGTGACGTAATATGTGGACGACCCCAGGCTGCGACGCGCCTTGCATACATCTACCTAGGCCTGCGGCGCTGACACCCGAGCCGGGTAGTGCAAAAATGTACACAAATATAGTCGAGCCAGCCAAAGGTCCCGATTCTTGTGGCGGTTGGAGAGTTGCTCCCTCTCCTCCTGCCGTACCCCCTCCACAGGCCAGCGGGGGAGCGGGACGGGTGGTGCGGGCTGGTGCGGGCGTTCTCCAACCGCCACAAGAATCGGGACCTTTGGCTGGCTCGACTATATGCCCGTCAACGGCCTGTTACTTCGACTAAGCTTGCAGGGTTGTACATTTTTAGCAGATGATACCTTAAATAGCCTTAGACTAAACATAAAACATATATATATAAAACTTTAAGGTGTCAGCAGCTTGTACTCTGGAGAAGGGCAGAGAACCAAAGCGCATGACGTCACCCAGATGTGTAAGGGGCGCGAGAAGTCGCCGGCCCCGCCGGCCGCCGCCCGTGCCCACCAACAATAACCAACAATACTGAGCCACGGATGCCGCCCGGCCTGCCTGCTGCCTGCTGCCCCCTATCCTATCTCTTCCTCTATGCCATGCCGCTAGTCCGTATTGAATTGCAAGAAAGCAATAGACCGTTCCGACAGTGCGCTTTTTGAGAAGAAATGAAGAAGTCGGGACCGGAACCAGTACCTAAAGTGCGCTTATTTTTGTCATTTGACAGTTGAGTTCGACGTAAATGACCTCGATTAAATCTCTAGTAACTGTCAATTTTAGTTTTCACTGATTTAAGCCATTATTTTAGAACTGTTTCCGGTGGTGATTTCATTAAGTTGCCGTAAAACGGGCACTGCCGGAACCATCTATTGCTAAAAGTGACAAACAGCCATAAACAAATAACAGCAAAATATGAGAGAAAATTAGGGCACACACATATCCTTAAATTTGTATCATCTGCTTTCACGATACGTCCCTCGACGTAGCTTTTTTCGCTTATTTTCGTCAAAAAACACCCTCTAGCGCCTCAACGGTTTGAGCTAGAGCAAAACGAAGAAAATGTTCGCCCGAAGGGTTCTACTTTGATTAGTTACCCCTTGGGAGACTAAATTTTTTTTTTAAAAAAATCATTATTTGTGGGACCTGTGGTTTTTCATTTTTTTAAAATCCTATTTTGGAGCTAGAATGCTCTTCTTCGAACTTGATCTGTCTTTTTATGATACAAAACGACCCTGAAAATCCCAGATCGCTAGCTCAATAGGGTGTTCCAGGCTATCTAAACCGGAAGTGAAAAAGAACAAACTCACTGACTTATCTGTTTCCGTCCGCCCAGTATGAGAAATTACCATGGTAGTTTGATCCGATTCTAACCTCTCAAATATGGAGGGGAGCTCGAAACTGATCTGGCAGTTTTCCATACTAGAAAGGCCGAAGTGGCACGTGATCAGGACGACCAATCAGAGCCATTACGGAAATAGAAAAGTCAATGAGTTTGTTCTTTTTCACTTCTGTTTTAGATAGCCTGGAACACCCTATTCGTTCTCGAGTTATCGTGATGACAAACAGACAGACGCGAAACGTTTTGATCATCACTGGAGTAATAGGGTTCGCTAATCGCTCAGCCAAAAACGTTATTTTTAGGACCTTTTGTTTTAGATTAGCTAAAAATCCAATTTTTGAGCTAGAATGCTCATCTTCGAACTCGATCTGTCTTTTTATGACACAAAACGACCCTTAAAATCCCAGGTCGCTCGCGCACTTTGTTTTCGAGTTTTTGTGCGGACAGATACACAGACAGACACACAGACAGACAAAGTTTTTTCCGACCAGACGGAGTAATAGGCTTCGCTAATCGCTCAGCCAATCAAGTCAATTACGGGGCTAGAATGCTTATCTTTGAATTCGATCTGTGTTTTAGCGATGCAAAACGACTCAGATATTCCCAGATCGCCATTGTAATTCCTTATCGAGCTAGTGCGGACAAACAACCAAACAGGATGAAACTTTTCAAGTCAGTGGAGTTATGGGCTTCGCCAATCGCTCAGCCAGTAATTTTTGGCCCTACAAATGTTGGCTGAGCGATAGCGAAGCCTATTAGTCCAGTGATGATCAAAAAGTTTCGTGTCTGTTTGTTTGTCTGTCTGTCTAGCACGATAACTCAAAAACGGTTTGAGCCATGAGGCTCTAATATTTATTGTAAAGAAATGTAATGATTTCGAACCCGCTGCCTCAAAATTTGACGCGACCAAAAAAGAAAAAAAAAAGAAAAAAAACCAAAAGCCCCAAACATTGCTTTACTTATTTTGTGTTACAGGAGAAGCGATATGGAGAATCCAAGCCGTGGCGGTTGTGAAGGTGTTTCAAAGACTTCAAGTTTGTCCCCTCAGTAAATAACTGAGGTAAGCACAATGTGCTCTGGTTTATGGTTCTTGTGCAATGTACATGAATTTCAATGCGCTAACATTAACAATATCATTTACAGGTACTTAGGTGCAACCGGCTGCGTATGTGACAGCAAGTGGGCGGTGTGTGGGTTGTCTGTGACAGAATAAACAAAAGAACGTCGCCATACAACTGACCGTCGCCGCCAGTCTCAACCGTGCACGTCAGAGCGCGATCAGAGATAGGCGGCAGACCAGCAAGTGTATCAAGCCAAAATGGGTAGTTCAACAAAACCACGCACTCTTCCTCCATCGGACGACGTACGAAGCACACGATTTTAATGGGAAGAATCGGGTGATGCGTGCGCTTCGCCAGATGGACCCCTTCGAAATTATTAAGGACAACGGCGAGCCCCCCAAAGTCATTGGTCGCCAGGGCGTCAAAAACAAATACGTGGCTAAGTTGAAGAAATTGCAGGAGGAACAAATGTGGACCAAGACGGACATCGCGGACGATGTCCGTTTCCTGTATTGGGTTTACAACGCCTACCTCATCAACCCTCGGGTCAGCCCGCCTCACATAGGGACACCAGTGCCGCCGCCTCCAGTCGCCATTCCGGCACTATACCGGGCCCTCCACGCGAGAGAGACAACTATTGTGGAGCGGGCGTTCCCTCCTCCAGTGCACCAGGAGCATAGTAAGCATCGCCGACGACAGATCGAGGATATCTCAAAAACTCGCATTGTGACACGCTTGCAAAGTTGTGTATAAAATTTGTCTGTCTGTGTATCTGTCCGCACGAAACTCGAAAACGAATTGAGCGAGCGACCTGGGATTTTCTGGGTCGTTTTGTGTAATAAAAAGACAGATCGAGTTCGAAGATAAGCATTCTCGCTCAAAAGTTGGATTTAAAAAATATCAAAAACAACGGGTCCAAAAATGAAGTTTTTTGAAAAAAGTTTTTATGGTTTCCTCGGGGGCAACTCATCACAGTGGAGCCCATTGAACGAAAATTTTCTGCGTTTTGCTCTAGCTTAAACCGTTCAGGCGCTAGAGGGTATTCTTGACGAAAATAAACCAGGGTTGCCACAAGTATGGAGAAGTGAAATTCCCTGACATTTCCCTGACAATTCCGTGAATTTCCCTGACAAGATTAGCAGTCAGAATCAGGGTGTCGAGCAGCGCCGACTGAAAATAAAATTCCTCATCTTATCCCGTATTGAGCAAAAATTGGCGAAATTCACGAGTATTTCTAGCCCTTTGAGATGATTTTTTTTTCTATCATTAGAGAGGTAGAATTGCATGATAGGTAAAAATTTATCAAATGTCCAAATATTCAGGTTGACAGGAGTATGACTGAGGCTACTAGAGGTATTCCCCATAGAAAATCGGCGAGCGAGAATATTTTATATGTGATAATTTATGTAATAATTTATGTAATAATTTATGTTATAAATAATTTATATGTAATGATATAAAGAGCGGTTTTTAGAGGGATTCGGCTGTTTGGTAGACCCTTTTGACACCGTTTCGTTTCCCCTTGCGGTATCGTCAGCTAGGGTTGCTCCGGCGCCCACACTTGAGATTACCTACCGGACCCGCCTTAACAGGCGTCTTCGGTCTTTCGCTAACGCTTTGAGATCAATACGGAAGGTAACAGTCTTCGAAAAGTGGGAGCGAAGCGAGTTTGTATTGTTTTTTTGGTGTTTTTTGTTTAAGAGGAGTGGTTTTGAGCGGGATAATAGTAACTTAATATATCTTTTCGGCGCAGTTTCCATTTAATTCTGAAAGAAAGACAAGGCACTTTGAAATTTTTAGAGATTTCCCGACGTGATTACAAGATTCCGGGATATTATCCGAATTTTGGCCGGTCAATTTAAATTCTCGTATAATTCCGGTATTCCCAGAGTCGCTCGACACCCTGCAGAATGCAATAAGCAAAGAGGTAATTTTGCGAACACCTCGCCGAGTACCCAAAATAACGCTGCCGGCCGTTTTTCCCTGACACGGCGCTCAATTCCCTGACTTCCCTAACTTGTGGCAGCCCTGTAAACGAAAATATTCCAAACCCTGCATGCTTAGTCGAGGTGATTGCCCGTTGACGGGCCGTAGGCCCGTACCTTCGTGCACTACCCGACCCGGGTGTCAGCGCCGCAGGCCAAGGTAGATGTATGCCAGGCGCGTCGCAGCGTAACAGTGTTTCGTGAAATTTCGCAAAGCCTGTTACGCGAGACGTGGTCTGGCGTACATTTACCTTGTTCTTAAATCAAGAATGGCGTTCTCTGGGTAAGAGATTATTGGGACTGATTCAAAAGAACGACGTTGTGGAAGGCGACGACACTTACAAAATTAGACCATACCTGAACAAGTCAAAACACGTCTTTATGGTATCATTACACACCAATGGCCAAGTAACTGTACGGAGTAGAGATAGCGGTTGACGCAGAATTTACAATTGCTTTTAGTGAAAGAATGTAATTTTAATCTGTCCTCTTTTTTCTTAACCAATTGTATCCATCCATTTGCGTACGCCGCGATGACTACGGGCACCGCCACGGCGTACGCAGCTGTCCTTGAAGAACTGAAGGAGTTCGGACTCTGTCCTAAGGCAGTGGTAACAGACTAGGACGACGCCCAACGGGCTGGGTGGAAGATGACAGTTCCAAGAATTCAGACGTGGGGCTGCTATTTCCACTTTCTGCGAGTAAGTATCCTTCCAATAAAGCATTCCGGTAAAGCTGAAATGCTGAAGAATGCAGAGAACAAGAAAACGGAAGTCCCATGTAAAAGCATAGTGATTTCCGTTTTCTTCTTCCTCGCATTCTTCTGCATTTTAGCTTTACCGGAATGCTTTATTCGTACTTTGTAGATTTAATAACTCGGTACATACAAATTGTCGATCTTTTACCACAGGCCCTGTAGAGACAGGCGGAGGAGCATGGGTTGGCCCAGTACATGAGGGATAGGACAGGAGGAGTGAGTCAACTTTTACGCATGCTCGCAGCCATACCCCGCCTTGAAAATAAGTACAGAAGGGAGGCATTCGACATGATCGTAAGACGGACAACTGACCTGAAAGACGCGACGGCCGACGAACCGACTAAACTACTACTATTCCTGAACTACTTCAGGAAAGAATGGATTGACGGCAACAAGCCAGAGGCGTTATCACTCCGCAAACGTCACGTGCATCCGACGGGCGGGCAAGAGTCACTCCATAGAAACTTTAACACCATGCTCAATAACTATGGCCGTCCCAGTTGGATGGAAATTTTTAAGTAAGGTTTCAAACTTTTCACTGGTAATGCCGCCGCCTTACTTTACCTTGTCCTGATTACTTTTTTTTTTTTTTTTCGTTTCCTTCCACAGCGCTTACACGACGTATGGAGGACGAGAAATATCACAATCTTTCACACCACACTAGACTGGACACAAGACTGGGAAGGAGCAATTCAACCACAGTGGACTACTTTTCGACCAGGACATTAAAGACGCGTACACTGACTCCGAACTAAACGAAAACCTGAGTAGCTTCCTCACCTTGGCGGCAAAAAAAGTGCGCCAGCATGTGGAAATTTTTGAAGACTTCGGCGATGATTTGGAGCTTCCCGAGTAAGTATAATTGGCTGAGCGATTAGCGAAGCCTATTACTCCAGTGATGATCAAAGAGTTTCGGCTCTGTCTGTGTGTCTGTCTGTGCGCACGATAACTCGAGAGCGATCAGACGGTTCCGGCAGTGCCCGTTTACAGAAGAATTCAGGAAATCACCACCGGAAACAGTTCTGAAATACAGGTTAAAACTAATGCAAATGAACCTTGACAGTTACTAGGGAGGGAGGTACTTGAGTTCATTTGCGTCGATCCGCATTGTCAAATAAGAAAAATAGGCGAAATTAAGTACTGGTTCCGGTGCCGAATTCCTTACTTCTTCACGAAACGCGCACAGCCGGATCCGTCTATGAGCTAGCGACCTGGGATTTTCAGGGTCGTTTTATGTTATAAAGAGACAGATCGAGTTCGAAAAACATTCTAGCTCAAAAGTTGGATTATTAAAAAATGAAAAACCACAGGTTCCACAAGTAATGTTTTTTTAAACAGATTTTATTAAGACGATCCGCATTGGGGCTTTTGTAGGGTCGTGTCAGAAAAGACGGACGACAACAACGCACAAGGCCGTTAATATCAGAACAAAAAGTGGTTACCACTATAGTTCTAGAAAGCAATAACGTATTTACTTCGTAACAATAATTTTGTATAAGATTTTCTTTTATTCGGATCGTCTATTTGTTAACACGGAGTGTTAACGAGATTTGTTACCTCTCATAAATCTTTACATTTTAAAATACTAGGTAGATGTACGCCAGACCACGTCTCGCGTAACAGGCTTCGCGATATCTCACGAAACACTGTTAGGCTGCGACGCGCCTGGCATACATCTACCTTGGCCTGCGGCGCTGTCACCCGAGTCGGGCAAAGGGCACAGTCGTAGACTTAGGCCCCAAAAGTCACTAATTTTGTTCCTCGAGGTTTCAGTTTGATTAGTTACTCCGCCGGACACCATCAAATAACTTAGAGTTAACAGTAAAATGTTTTGCGGTCATTTCTTATACGTTAGCAACGAAGTTGCTGCAGCGAGAGGGGCAGCATTCAGATGTGAAGTCCTCACCGAAATGCTTCAGAAGCTGCATTCTTCTGCAGTTTATAACATCTTCTGAATACTTCACCATGGCCTTGGCGTCTTCTGTGTTAATGGGTATGTCGCTATCCATGAAATTGTTCATGTTTTGGAGGTCTTGTGGTAAACGAACTTAAGTAGCCAGATGTAAACCTTAGCTTTTGTAATATACCTCATGACCAAAGTATGGAGTTTTATAAATTTTAATATTAGGCTAAGACTCTTTGCGAGATAAAGTTTAACGTACCATTTCTATGTAATTTGAAAATAATTGTGAGTGAGTATGCATTTATATCTTTTATCAGATTTGTTGCAATCAGGATTCTGAAAGTGAACTAAGGAACAGCGAACCCTTCCTGGTAGCAGCACCACCATAGAATACATAGAAAACTTTCATGATTGTTGTGCTTTTAACAATCGTCGCGGGGTCAAACAGCATTCAAATCTCTCGCGCGCTTCCTCTCTTTTGTCTGCAAAGCGGCCCACTGCTCCCATGATGCGACCTAGCTGCGACAAGGGCAGTGCACGGCAACGGAAGAAAAGTCAGACATTCAAACTACTTGCAAACCGGTGTTTTCACCCGCTGCTGACAAACTGCAAAACTGAGAAAAACTCTCTCTCTCGACCCGGGTGGAAGGATCTAATGCAAAACTGTAGACCTAACTACAGTTTTCACTCGTACTGTGTCAATCTAAAGTTAAACTGCAGTTAAACTACAGTTATAAACCAGTTTGCAGGTCCCTTGCGAAATCCGTAGAGTTTTTCTATAGTTTAACTACAGTTAACTGCAGTAAAACTGTAGTTTAAACTACAGTTTACTAGTGCAGTATCGAGTGCAGATCCTTCCACGCCGAATAGCAGTGAGAGATGTTTCTGTTCTTCGTAGTGGTACAACTGACTGTTCAAGCTCGCGCCGATTTTTGCTTGTTTTTCTGTTGTTGTTGTCATAATAATCCTAGTGTTATGTGTTAGTTTCTCTTTTTTATATTAATATTATAAAATGGCCAAAAAGAATGAAGCCAAGGAAATCGTAACGACAAGAAGGAATAGAGTATGTGGTTATAGTCATTCCAAACAGGTATTACCTAATAATTCTTTATTTGTTAGCATTAATCTAGGAAACTTTGGTCCTATAGAATAAACGGTGTGTGGGTAGAAATAAACGGCTGTCGAACAAGAGGAAACGTGAAAATAGAGCGGGGTACAGGAAGCGAAATGCTTTCTTGTCCTGTGTCCCCTGTACGCCCTGTGTCTCCTGCTCCTGCTTCAGTCGTTCAGTCCTGTAATGATGAGGTACAATATATTTCAAGTCAAATTTTTGGCCCGGAAGGCCCTGTTCCCATATACCCTCCTATTTGCTGGTCTCGGGTGTGAGCGCCGCATAGACATGGGCGCCGCGCCAACGCCGCGCCGCCGCCGACAAATTTTGACGCGCCGCCGCCGCCGAGAGATATTTTTCGGCGCGCCGCCGCACCGCCGCCGGTCATTTTGTCGGTGGCGTCATCGGCGGCGCGGTTCTTTATGGCCAATTTTTACGCTAAAAATCAGACCGTTGACGCCTTGTAGGTAAGCAAAATAATAAGCCTCACAAACCTTTGCACATGTTTGCCCACTTTCAAACCTTTTCGGAAAATGAACATGATTTGTTAATTAAATATCAACGCTTATCGAAATGATGATCATTTTGCGTGTGAATGTTGGTTTTTGAGTCAAAAGTTCACTATTGGCCGCTGGTCACGCCGCCGCCGCCGCCGCCGATCATGGTGCCGGCGTGGCGCCGCCGCCGGCGGCACATTTTGGGCCAAACGCCGCCGCCGACTAAAGTCCGGTCGGCGCCCATGTCTAGCGCCGCAGGCCTATCTATATGTGCGCCAGGCGCGTCGCAGCGTAACAGTGTTTCGTGAGATATCGCGAAGCCTGTTACGCGAGACGCGGTCTGGCGTACATATGGCTAGTAATTCTTCGTTGCCAGTGTGAGAGTGATAACGTACCGCCTCTGTGGTTTTCTTGTTTCCCGCCGCTAGGCTGGCCCGGGCCCGCTCGTGGGCATTGTGTGAGGTTAGAGCAGGCCGGTGGGCTTACATGAGTTTGAAATTTAATGATATTTGAGTACTGATGGTGATTTTGTCATCTCCTGGCCCATTCGACCTGTCTGGACCTGCAGCGTCGCTCGCGGGCGAGCGGCGCGAGGGAGGGGGCTCGCGGTAAGGACGCCGCCGTGTGACCACACCGGCCGGCTAACGTTAAGGATGTTCACTTGAGGGCTTACCAGTCGTGCAAGTGTGATGTCCATTCAAATCTCGCGTTGTAATGAACTTAGCTCGACGTGTTCAATCTTATCCGCGCCACGACGCCGCCGGCCGGTCGGCTGTCGAAGTCAGAAAATCTGGTGCGACTTACTCGTCGCGCAGCTACTCACTCGTCGTCCCGCAGCTCATGCTGAGCACCACGATGACGCCCTCGCGCACAGCGTGTGTGTGTGTGTGCGCGCCTGCATGTGCAGGGCTTGGTGCGCGCCCCGCGCTGCTTTGGGGCGTGCACTGTAAGTTTCATACAAAGAACTACTCTTCGTAACGTACAAAGGATTTGGAACCTTTGTAATAAGAGCACGCGTCTGTTCTTAAACTCGTGCTCTTTGTAATACGAAGAAAATCCGTTTGTTATATGGTGGTTCCAGATCCTTTGTACGTTACGAACCCAATTCTTCATAATATGAAGACCACTCTTTGTAAGGAACTAAGAGAGTGCAGCTCTGTTGGATACTTGTGGTTAATTTGTGCCCTTGACGGTCTTTCACAGTCGCTGTCGATGTCCTGGGAGGCGCCCGGAGGGGTTTCGACCCACGCCTACCCGCGCCCGCCAATGCGCCCCGGCGTATCACCCCGGGCACCGCACCCCAGCCGCCAAGTAGGCGACGACACAGCGGATGACAATGCTCTAGATGAGGTAAGTCTAGTTGCTGCTGCAGTTGCTGATAATGCTACGGCCGCTGCCTCTGTCGTGACCTCGGTGTTTCTTCTTTGTGCAGCTCCCTGTGCCCCCGCCCCCCCGCCGAGCAGACCGCTGCCGCCGCCCCGCAGCTCGCCGCGGCCGCCGAGCAGCCCGTCAAGGCCGCCGAGGAGGAGGAGGCCCTAGTGCTGGACTCTACCAAGGTGTGTGTGTGTGCATGTGTGTGGGTGTGGGTAAGGTGTGTACACCTTAGGCGTGGGCACCCGCGAGTTTTCACCATGGTTTTCACTCTGATTGCTCTTTTACAGGCATGCATCCGCACACCCTCCCTCCCCTCACGCCCTCACACCCCCGCCGCCCGGGCCCCTGTGGATGCGCTCAGCTACCACCCAAAAACACCACCTTCGGCCAACCACCCTGTAAAGGGTGGTGGTGCCCCCCGCCCTTATGG